ATAACAATTAATTCCTCATGCTGTTTAAATTTCAAAGAATCGGCAAATTACCATTTTGGTGATAACGTTAATATTATGGAAAAGTAATTAATAGAGATCTCAGTAGTAGAATTTTTTGCTTTCAAAGCTATGGAGGCTCTTTATTTCAGTGAGCAAAACGATGACTTTTCCTACTATGACCCTGACCACTTGTTCGTTAGTGAAAAGATAAGCAATTAATTGTGTCGAAGGAAACAAGTTGTGTTAAGCATATGCTACAATCCTTTGCAAATTGCTAAAATAAAAATTACTGAAAACATGTCGCAATCTTCGCATATTTTGCATGAGAAAAAGTTTCATAGTGATTTAAGATACTTCACTAAGGTCTCCACGTCGTGTCTTCCATTGGTGCGCAAATATTTCTAAGAAATACCGATTGTTAGTATGGAAAAATAGGAAAATGTTAATGCACTGTTGTGCAGAGTATTACTTTATAAACATAGTTTGGGTATTCTCGATCGTTAACATATTGAAAGTAAAAACGAATAACTACTGAACAATAATGAAGCAGACGTAGATGAAGACGGTAAGGATTAAGGGGAAATTCAGATTAAGTGGCCAGTGGAACAGTTATATCCGTATATCGATGATGTTCAGAAGCATCGTATAAAAAGCTAAATTAGAAGATTTTTCATTTATTATTACAAAAATACAAGATAGATATAATATTTAATAATCTATCTCCATCAGAATAAGATATCGATAAAGTCAAATAAGAGCTTTTTAACTAATGATAAGTTGCCTTAATATTGCATTTAAAAGGCATAATAAAATCGGAGTCATTCACCGTTGTTTTCTGCCCTTTAATTAAGCGCTAGCGTTCTCAAGATAATTTATACAATTATTAATGAGTTCTGATAAATGTATAAATTGTATTTCACATACCTCCGTGTCCCATAAGAAGCCAACGATTACTTTATTATTGCTTTCATCAAGATCCACATGTGAAGAAAGGGATGGCGAAAAACGAAAAAATGGAATAGATTGATCATGAGCCCAAGAACGCGCACGTGTCACGCATGGTCCATTGGAAGCTGTAATCTGTAATACGAGCTTTAGTATTAGTTATATCATAAGATGGACATATGAACCATTGGATGATATTGTTTAGTTTAGGGTACTAGACTACAAAGAATTGTACCGTTACTCCAATGAATTTTTCTCTTGTTATCTGTTGTCTCTTCAATTAATGTTCACTACATCTTAAAAATGACCCTTGAACCTAGACATAGCAATCCACACAATACCAAGATATCGTCTAGATGAAGTGATGACAGATGTGTTAGTGTAGAGTACTCTCCGCAGTCCGTTATTTTTGGAATGTTCCGACATCGAAGGGTGCCGGAACCGGACTGCGTCATACATTGGAACTTCAGATAATTAATAATTGTGTCGGACATCCGATAAATTAATTTTAGGATTGACAATACTCGTGTTTGCGCATTATTATGAAAATTTGGAGCTTTAAGAATTTATGAACATTCAAAGGTAAGCTCTGGAAGTCTTTGATTTCTCAAGGAAATAAAGATTCAGTATCAAGGGGTGAAAGCAGTAGAGATGTGCATAAACAGTCATTTCTTCTCGAGTCATCTTTAAAGAGTAAGAGCAAATTGGCTCAATCAGTTCTCAACATATTTTTTTTTACGAAATACTGTAACGGACATATGGAACAAGGTATGAAAATATTTCCCATATTCTCCAAATTAGTGCCAAATAAAACTGCGACTGGATTGTAAAATTTGAATACACTTTATTCAGAATCCAGGAAAATAAATAATTGCATGAAGATATAATTTCATCGTCCGTGAGAAAGAAATTAATAAAGAGATGAAAGAATCCCAACCCATAAGGAGATAACGAGAAATTACTTGAAGATCTGCGTAAGAATTCATAGAAAATTTTGTAAAATATTGCGAAATTGGCAAAATTGATGTATAATGAAATATAAACCAACTTGCTCTACAAGAAGATTTTTCAAACTCATTAAATCCTGAAACATTGACACGCCTTCGATAAGACCTCCAGGCACACCAAAATTCCATTTCATGTTTCCTAACTCTTCATGAGGTGCTTGACCAGTTCCTAGTGATATGATGCAGCCAATGCGTATAGTTTCTTTTTTCTGGAAAACTTTATTTAAAATATGAAAAGAATTCGCTTTAAATGAATATACCAGTAACAGAATTGCTTATCAAACCAAATATCAGTTGGATGGGTTACTTATTCAACTAACGCTTTCGGACATTTTAAATGGCTCATAACGGAATAGTGATGTCTAATTTCCAAACTTTAAATGATTGTCCGAAATAAAGATCTATAATTTTTCTCCCTGACATTTCTTGCTTTATATACTATAATCAACTAAATGATGAAATGACCTATTAATAAATGCCATGTCCTTTTTCGGAAATTAAAAAATTCAACACATAACTTACTGCTTTAATACATGCAGCGTTATAAGTGTGTATATCTGACAAAAGATCAAGCGTTGGATTATTTGACATTAATCCGCCATCAACAAAATTATCTTTCGGTGTGAAAAATGTTGGGGCAGCGCTACAAAATATAACTAAAATATAACTAGTTATCACTTTCCATACCAACATTTATCTAATTCCTTTCTTCACATCTGTTAACTGCAGTTGACAAAAGATAATAAAAATAAAGAGCATGTCCGTTGATAACAAAGGCATTATCAGTGAACATGCTCTTTATTGTACATAAAGCATTGTTATACATTAAACTATTAACTCTATAACAATCCAAGCCAACATGCTATATTGATACCAACGTCATTGCAATTTATATAAACGAACCTCTTTATACTTTTGTTAAAAATTCGAAAGGCATTAAGTACATAACTAGAGCAGCCAGTGTTTGAGTTTATCAAGTAAATTTTTCCCAGTAATTCCTCTCACTAAATAAAAATAGGGCAATCAATAAAGCACTGATAATCTCGTATATTGAACAACGCAAATTTCTGCCAAACAGAAATTTTCGGATCTATTAAAAACTTTTCCTTTTAACAAATGTATTGAATTGATTAAGCATCATACCATGAACCAACTCACCTAGAATATCGCGCACACTTCCATACTAAGTTCTTACAAGGATCATCAAATCCCAAGGCTTTGTTTTCAGCTTTGCTAACCGGTAAAGTATAATTGCGAAAAAGTTTCAACAGTGGTGGCTTTCTTTGTACACATGAAGCTGTCACAATGACTCTAAAAATACGGAAAACGAGATGGAGATTCAAGTTTGCCAACTACGAAATATTTTCTTAAATATAAATATTAGTTCGTTAGATGCGTTTAATAGGAAACTACAAAGCTATATTTTTTTCTTAAATATTTTTGTATCATCAAAATAAATACAACATTACATTTTAACCAAATATATTATAAAGGGATTATTTGGAAGATAACCTACCATAACGTTTTCGCATAACCTAAGAAATATTTTATTATCAGGAATTTTTTTAAATTGGCAACAGGCAAATAATTTAATTTGTTTACTTGTCTAATCAAGTAGTCAAATTATATTCCCTTTTTTCTACTACTTTAGTGATTCGTAGGATAGACATATTGATTTCTGAAATTCCAAGATGATATCAAATGAAATCAGTAATAAAAATTGGTTCATTATAAATGGTTGCCATTTAATAGAAAAACACAATAAAAAATAGAAAAAAAAATTGAAATCAAAAAAATGGATTCAGAAAAAGTGGTTTTCTAAAAATGTGAAGCACAAACACACTTTTTAGATTTTAATTGCGCCATCGTTGTTTTATCGCCAAAAATATCGCGGAGGAGACCATCGATTACTTTTTCCGAATATGGTCGTCGACCCACAAATAATTCATCCTTCATGCGCAGATAGAGATTTTGACAATGTTTTAGCGAATACCTTGCAAAGAAACATTTTTTTTCTTTTAGGAAAAGGACGAGAAATTTGCACATTTATATAAACTGCAAAAAAAACAACACGGCTGATATAAACGTCGAAAATTAAAAATATGAAATTAACAAATCTTTTGCCAGCCCCAATGCGATTATTGCTCCTGTACTAGTTCCGCATAACCACTGAAAGTGTTGCATGAGAGAATGACCCAACAAATTCTTAATATGCATTAACGTCTGAAATATAATAGATATGACTACAAAAGAGGATAATGAAAGAGTAGAGGATAGAAGTTGGTTCCTGGAAAAGATTCGCAATGCCAAATTACTATGTAATATAATTAATTTTCTCCATAATTACTATATTTATTTGTTCTGTTTAACCATTCAATTTATTTGATTCCATGCTGTGCTCAGTTTAATACATTTTGTGACAGTTTCAGTATAAAACATTCATGCCTTCTTCAATATACCTCCAATTTCAATAAGTGAGATATAAGTTACATATTATTATAGACTGCTTGGATATTTCATCTTTCAATGAAGTTGCAAAAATTTTTTCTCAATATTTTAGAACAGAGAGCACATGCGTTATGTAAAATGAAGCATTGCACATTTAACATCTGATCATTTTTTCCGTTAATTGGTAGTCCAGATACTAACAGATAACAAACTAGTACAATTTAAGAAAAAAAGAACTACTTAGATAAATACCTGCAAAAGTATTAAGCCTCTTATTCCACCGCCATCGAAACTTATTACATTGACCAATTGCTGCCTTTGTTCTAGTGTCATTTGATACCGTTCCTCTAATGCTCTCTCTTGCATAAGATCAGATAAAACTGAAACTCATTTTTAATAAAATAATTATAAAAAGCCTGTAGAACACTAAAAAACATATGCACCATTTGAATTTCAATTGAAGAACAAACGTTTTGAAATTTCGAAAAAAAATTAGCTAAAAAAGGTTAAAATGATTTGCAAAGTCTGCTTTTCAGTAAAACATACCATTATCCAAAACTGGTTGAATCACTGATGGTGGGTGAGCGAAGAGCTTCAGACATTCTATGATTTCTGTGCTGAATTTGTATTAATTTTTTAACCATAGATTTGCTATTATCAACAAAGCACTCTCAATTTTTGAATAAAATCTTTGAAAGCATTCCCAATGTAAAAAAATGGTTGGCATAATTTACTCTTATAGAAAGAATTAGGCTAAGATTATACTAAGATTATACTTTATTATTATTAATATCAAGCAACTGGAAAACGTTGTGTAAACATCCTGTAATTAGAGTTAAAAAAACAGTTATTTTGTTTGCAATCTATTCTTCAAAGAAAGTTTCTAAATATAATTCGCTAATAAATGTTCCCATAAAATCTATAAAACTCACCTACTCCCAACATCTAATGGTGTTTCTCCGCGATTATTCTTTAGCTGAACTGATGCTCGAAAACATAACAACAGTTTCACAATATCAACATCTCCATTCTAAAAAACGGTTGTATGATTTATTCTCAAAATGCTTTTGATTTATTCTGATTTATTCTCAAAATACTTTTCCATTCTTTCGAATGAAAAAGTATTTTGAGAATAAATTCTTTCAAATATTGATAACAATAGCAAGACAATTTTAAAAGCATGAAAAATAAAGTTCTAGAAATTTCAAACAATTCGGAAAGATATTATGAAGTATGTGCTGTCAAAAAGTAATATCTGCCCGATGAACAATCAGTAATTTCAAAATTAGCGAAGAAGTAATTTTAGAATATCTCACTCAATATCTATCTAAAAAGATATAATTTTGGACCATACCCGTTCCTCTTACTGAAAGCGAGACATACCCTAACAGATACATGCAACGGGGTGTCACCTTCATAATTTGCAATATTTACATCAGCATTGTGTGTTAGTAGTACAAAACTTTGTGACAAATCATTCCGAGCTACAGCACAATGTAGCGGTGTTTGATTCGAACCATTTCGAATGTTTACATTAACAACATCGCCAAGATCTCCCAGAATATGGTATAGCAACTGAAATATTTTTTCTTTTAAAGATAAAGAATTAAATTAAATCTTTTATTTTTCATCGTGAGTTATATCTCTTGTTTTCTCACGAAATTCTTTTTCATAAATTGTAAAAAATTTTTAATATTTACCTAACTCTAAAGTAAAGGGATCAGATATAAGTACTTCTGCGCTATCAAGTCAACATATAATCCTGATTAGCATGTTTTAATAAAATATTATGCCAGCTGCAAACAGATACCACTAAACATACTTTTAGTTCCAATTTTTCATGAAGTATGGACGACGAACCACCGATCTCTTCGGCTAAGAATTGTGGAGCGCGTATTAACAATAAATCGACTATCCTTGAAAGAAATTATTTCCTTTTACATACATTTGAGAAAAGTTGCACTATAAAAATGCGCTCTGAATATAAGAAAACGCACAAAAATCTTTTAATACCTTGGTAAGTCGGGTGATGAAGTAGCTACAGAAACCATAGCAGCCAAAGAACCACCCGGAAAGGGACCAGTTGAACAATCTGCATCCAACAAGAGTTCCACGCATTTTTCTTTAGCTGAACAAATAGCTAGGCAAAGTGGCGATAAGCCATCTTCATCAATTACATCTACAGCGTCTAAAAAATCGTGAGTCCCGGCCAACAACTGAAAATAACAAAAAGTAATATTATTGGTGTATAGAAGAAAAGATTTTTGAATATATCTTTAAAAGAATGAATATAGCTTCGATTTCTGCATTAGGACATGAAGAGATAGAAACAGCAAAAGAGAGAATCATAATCAGCTAACATACCTTCAGTATTTCCGGGTTGTTTTCGGCACCATAATGTACAGCATTCCTGGAACGACAATCCTGCTTCGCAGTATGGGCACCCAAACTCAGGAGGACTTGAACAGCTTCTTTAGCATTATTCTCTACTGCTGTGTGCAGTGGATAATGGCCATCATTGGATTCTTCATTAACTATACTGCAAATAAACAGTATATTCTAAGGGATCTGAGCAAAGCAGTTTTTTCATTAATTCCAAAAGTGATGAATTATTCATTAGAGATAGATAACCTAATTACGCAACAATAAGTTTTACATTAATTATTATGCAATAATAAGTTTTTTACTTTTTCTTTTCTTCTCAAACAAACAACAGAATTTTCTGGAAGTTAGTAATTGATACTAACTGACTGTTTTTAACATGACAATATTTTTGATATTACAGTTATTAAACCAAAAATCTTGGACTTCTAGAAATTTTGAAAATATTTCTATTATGACTATCTTAGTTATGCCTCACTCCTGAAACATTTCTATTATTATCGTTGCCAACAAATGTTTGAAAATTCCAATTCTTATTTCCGAAAGCTCCCACATAAATAAACATCGGTACTTAGAAAAATTTTTGTATATACTACTGTTGAATCAAACTTAACAAACTTTGGACGATCCTTGCACAACTGTTCAATAATTCTTGGAAAGTTACAAGCAGCCGCATGATGTATATCATTAAAACTAGGATGTTTGATCACCGAATCTCTCAACTGCTCGAGTTCAGTATTGAATAACTTTGAACTTACTTTCTCTGAAAAAAGGACCACTATATATGAAAAATTATTTTCATAGAAGAGAGAAAATTATGAGCAATTGAACTTCTGGATTCCTAACATATTCAACATAGGGGGCAGATATTTCTGCACTAGCAAAAACACGTTGTATCGACTAATCAAAAATCTGGTGTAGAAAGAAAGAGATAAAGTAATCGTATAGTACGACGCAACTATTCAGATGAGGTATACGATGAAAATATTCATTATTTTATACTTTACTCACAGGCTTTCAAATTTTTCAGAAATATTACCCAAAATGTTAACAAGCAGTTTCATATTGTTCAATTGATCCCTTAGCAATTCTGCTTCATCACGATTCCGTGTACGCCAAATCTTTAACGCTCTCGGCACATATACAACGTAATATGTCCCCTCTTTTGGTTTATCTACATATAATGCAAACGTATAAGAATCATCACATTTTTTGAAGGTTGTCAACTTCGAAGCATTTATGGCTTCAACCTGAATAGAATAATCGTTATTCAACTTCATCTAAGAAAGAACATAATACACATGATCTTTAGCTTGAGAAATCTCGCTTATTTTATTTCTTCTACTGTCCATCACAGTGGCTACAAAAGAAATTTCAACACCTCGCACAAGCCTACTACTGACTGAATGACTTGTTTGTAGTCCAGCACGACACTCTCCAGTAACGATTTAATAGTCACACACCCAATGTGTAATTATGAAATCAATTTGCCAAGTTCACTGAAATAAATGGAAACCTTGTCCGGTTTTGATGAAAGAACGGTGGCAACAGCTCGGCCACATGCACTCACCACCGCACTGCAATTTTGTGCCGCTGCCACATCTCGAACTTTTTTCAGGATATCGAACATAGTTCGACGCTTCAAAAGTTTTTTCATATTTGAACCGTTAAATCTCCCTAGCGAGTGATATCCGATGAAATGAAAATTAGCAATGCAACAACTTCCTTAATCCTCTTTTATAAATTCCCATTATTTGGTGAATAATCTCGGTCGTATATATATCCGGTATTTATTCCATAGAATTCAATGATAGTCTCGACATAGATAATTTCGCCCTCCCAAAATATCACTCAGTGATATCAAACATGCTTAATTCCACAAAAATAATTGATGACTTAATATAATATGGAACCCTACAAGTACCTTTCTTAGGAGAGTAAATGTCTAAATCTCTTTTCTTCCTTTGCCTCTAAATAAAGCCAAACTAGATATCTCTACCAATGGAGAAACAATACAAAATCAAGAAAAGTTGCGAACAAATTGTGGAAAGATACAGTGACCTTTAGTGTATCTTTAATGACTATATACAGCATGAGATTTTAAAATCTTGTTTTTAAACAATGAATTCCGAATAATTACTTTATTAGAATATATAAATGAGGAGAAAAATAAGATCACAGAATAAGTAATGGTCGCAGAAGACGAAATGACTGCTGTACATATGAGAATGAATCGACGGCTGCTAGAAAAACCGCTGTGACTAATTCTTCTGTCTGCAAGAAATATGTAGCAAACATAAGTCAATACTAGTAAACGTAAAAAATGCTAATTTATAAACACTCAAACATGCGTACATAGATACACATACATAAAAACAGTAAGAGCAGGAAACAAACTTCTTCAGAAGGTGTATCGACCGCACTAATATGTTGAGCAAACTGATTACTGAAAAATGAAATTTGTCGTCCAATTAGGCTATGCAATTCAGAAAAGGGTTCCTGTTTCACTACGGTAGTCGTAATTAACAGCAATTGTCCCAATTTATGAACAGATTGCACGCTTTGAGCGGTAAAATCGGCCAAACACTCTGCAGATGATGATATGACATGTTGAAAATAAGTCAATATAGTATAAACATAAATCCAAAATTGTCCTTAAGCTCAAATTTTAACTTTAAACTAAAATATAAATAATTCTGAAGAAAATATAACATTCTAGCTCAAAAAAGACGAGATACCCAGAAAAAGTTCGAAAATTTGATTGTTAGAATCAGGTAACTTTTCCAAACGTTTTTGACATCGTGCATAGGAATCTATTAAACACGAATCCTGGAAGAAGTGTTAGTCAATGAATCCTATACGGTCATCCATAAAAATAAATAACATATAGTAAGACAAAACATAATTTCAGTAAAACCAGCCTCACTTTGTAAGGTAGGGCAATAGCTACTAATATTTCTTTGAAATTATAAAGGAAATTTCCCTGTTGATCATCCTGATACTCTTCCAAGGTATTGACTAGATCTTCAGTGAAAATTTCATTTACTTCTCTGGAAAGATTAAACAACTGATTAGTAGTGTCTGAAATTTGAGCTTTAAAATTCAAAATAACTCAAATAACTACCTCTTTTTATGTGGTTTCTTTTTTTGTAGTAGTTTCTTGGCCAATAAATGCTTCAACTATGCTTTCGAGTACAAGGGGGATTTTCCGAAGGTTTGGAATATAAACCAGTGTGTTCGAACCCAGAATTTTAATATATAAGGAATTGCAACAAAACAATAATATACCTTCTTCTTTGTGGTGGAATTTTTCTTAAATAATTTTTTGAGAGCATTTCGAGGCTTTCCAGATGAAGCATACCATTAAATTTCTCAAAGAAATCAATAAATGTAAGTTCGCGTTTTGTAATACAACTAGTTGTAAATGCCGCTTCTTCTGCTCGACTTTCGCGTACCTCTCGTAAAACATCGGACAAATTTTGACCTCTTTCCGGTTCAAAGATAAATCGCCTTTTCTCGGAACCCTAATTTGTAAATATCTCAAAATGAAAAATTGATAGTTTATATTTCATAACATATCCAAGGAAAACAATAACATATTTTATCCTTTCCGTCTGTTGCACTATTTATTATATCATCGCATGACTTAGTAGCCAAACCTGTTCTGGTAGAGTTAGTTTTTCAAATGTCTTCTTGCCAAGTGCTTCAAGTACGTCTAACGAACCCGTTACAACGTTAGCCCCAAAACCTGCGAACAGCTTGCCGTATGATTTTATACTAGAGCTAGCTATTTCCTCTCTTTCCTGCAAAATCCAGTATTTTAAGTAGACTTCGAGTCTCTGAAATGACAAACAATTCCATTCTGCACTTTAAGATACCGTATTAAATCAACATATTTTGAATTATATCAGGACTAAATTCAATAAATATAAAATGAACTACTAAAGTAAAAAACCCCAACTTTCGTAGTATAATCATTGGCAAGTTTCTCCATCGATTGGCCTCTTACTAATTCTTCTGGTGTTGGCAATCCAAGGCTTGATTCGACAACACTGGATATATTCGTTAAACCTTCTCCTGAAAAAATATAATATTCAATCGAAAGCAAATAAAAATAAAATCCAAAGCACTTGAACAAAAAATTTGACAAACTATCACCAACATTTGAACATCACCGCTAATACGATATAAGCATTACTAACCAACAGCAGAGACCATATCGCCAAATTCAGTCCAATCCCAGAACGACTTGCTTGTCTTGACTTCGTTTGTCTTCAGTCCAGCCTGAAATATACCCAAATCGAATTTCTAGTAAATCCAAAGAGTGTATAAAAAATCACTGAGATTTCCGTCAGTTATTTTATTTAGCTGCTCTTTTTCTTGAAGTTGACTTGAAGAAGTTGATTAGATCATAGTGCGGTTTTACAAGAATTTTAGAGGTTTGAATCAAGAATATGAAACATTAACCTTTAATTTCGAACTGGCAATAATTCTGTTTTGTTCGTCATTTGCCAGCATCCGTGGCGATTCTTGGTTTTCATTTTGGATTTCGATAACGCTCCCATCTTTTCCTGCATATTCCAATTCCCAATCATCCCACCCCTCATGATCAATAACGATTCTTCCCTCACACCGTTCCATTTTCTCTACCATGTTGGCATTATCCACAATTCCCGAAGCAGGAACTTTACTTTCAATTCCAGATTTTTTATCACTATCTGTTGCAAACTTTTGTGCTACTTCAACTTTAAATCCATTCATCTCGAACAGTTTCTCATCTTTCTGGGAAATTTTGTCCGATCCGTTATTTTTTGATTTTGACATCTTCCCGATACTCATTCTGCTGTATTGTAAAATGGGCCATTCCGGTGTTTGGGAATCAGGCATCTTTCCAGAAGAGACATCACCCACTTTCAATTCTTGGACTGAAATGATTTCTCTCTCTGGATCAGAATGAGCTTCATTCGCTGACACACAATCATGATTTTGTCCTTTCAAAATAGATTTGCATTTTGAAGACTCCTCAGAAAATAATAGATCTTGAAACATTTGTTTCTTTCGATTTACGAATAGCATTTCCGATACCTCAGATTTATTGTCGGAATACTTATTTTGCGTCTTACCATTACTAGATTCACTGAATTTATATTTGCTGTCTTGGACAGCACTGACTTTCTCCTCTTCATCAACCTCTTCGCTTTTTAAATAAGTATCAATGGTGTTCATATCCTCCTGATCCGACAAGCTACCAACAGCACTATGAAATGATTCCGTGTCCGAGTCCGTCATTCTAAAATCATACATTACTTTAATTTCCAGAAGACACAAACACATACGAAAAGTTTACCGGATGGCATTTAGACATAACGCTAAAAGCGTTTTGATGAAACTGGAATAAGTTAATACAATTCCTCTTTCTTCCTCTGCTTTCCTTATTTGACCCAATCAAACGCTCCGCTCTTACTTCCAACGAATCAAATTTTCTCGGAAGAAAACCAAACTCACAAGTATATCTATCTATATTATGATTCCTCCAACCGTAAAATACTCATCGGCCTGAGGCTGGAAGTAAATTTAAATAAAGTGAAGTTGCAAAATATATTGATTGCACGCATGAACATGTTTTCATTGCTAGCAAGGCTCATCATTTTAGACGCTGATCTTTATATTACAGCACTGACCTTTATAAGTGTCATGTCTTTGACAGAAAATGGAAGCAGAGCAAGAAATTTATTCAGAGTTAAAACTGTAATCAGCAGAAAAGACTAAAGCGAAATAAAATCGCGGTTTGGAACTGAATTGTTTGAAAGATTATCCGAGAAATTGTTCCCAGCGGCACTGATATTTATTGGTTTTAGCAAAAATATGGCGTCATCAAGGTGATAAAATGGCTGCAATACTTGCAATTATGAATTTTTGACCGTTCGTAAGCTTTTCAGTTTAAGAAATTTCATATCGACGTTGAAAAAGTTATCATAATTTAAAACATACTCTTTAGAAATCTCCTTCGCTTAAATATATCAGAAACTTTATGATTTAAAAAACCAAAGATTTCTTCAATAAAAAAAAGAAAATAAAGTGGGTGAAAATAAATGGGATCATACTCTTTTAAAATCTCCTTCGCTTAAATAAGGTAGTTTGCTCCATTTGAGCAACTCAAATCCTGCTGGTTCCAAAACATCTGCTACTAATGAATTCGCCTGCTCTTCGAACGTCCTACCTTTGATCGAAATTTTTACATCTAAAAAAAATCCTGTAATTGATCAAAACAATGAACAATGTTTTCTGTATTTTAATGTAAAATTTGATCCTGAAGGTTTTATTCAGAAATAAATAGTGCAAATTCATAAAGAACAAATTATGCTGATCCACTTGCAAAAATATTGCAAAATTACACTCAGCATAAACCTTTGAAGGAATCCTACACATGGTACCTGGCCGATTTGTACGACTTGTTGGATGAAATTCTACATACTGGTGTAATGGTAAAACAACAGCCAACAGCAGCAAAGATTCTGAACGTAGAGTGATCGTATGTAATTGAGTTAATAACAAAGATGGGTTGTAATGACGATCTAGCAAATTAAGTGCTGAAACCAAATGATAAGTTCCCGACTGCTGACAGATATCCATTCGAACGACTCTGAATCCGCGTTGTTTCAAGCGCCATTCCATTATCTTTAATAATGAGAAAGAGTAAAAACCCAGAACTTCAAATACTCAAAAATATACAAACCTTACAGATTCTCAACTTCTAAGTTCATTAACTTTTTCCTGTAATTTTATATATTCCTCATCGCAATTCACTATTATCTCGTTAGATATGTATCAAGAGATTTGAAGCAAATTAACGGCCAAAACTAACATCAGAAGACTAACTATATTGGTTAACTGAACAGTCCTGATTTAAAATATCCCATGCAAAATTCCCCAATTTCTGAAATAAGGCAATCTAACAAACATTGGTCGAATTATTGAATTCACCTTGGAAGCTTCTGTAACTGAAACAATCCTATACAATTGTGCCATTATAGCAGTTATCTGACCATCTCCAGCACCCAAATCCAGAAGCTAAATGAAAATATTTCCTTTCCTTCCTCAGACAGAAGTTAATTGCAAAGAATAACAACCAAAACGAATTTCTAGGATAATTCGCGAAATTCTATTGAAAATATTCAAAATAGTGTTAAATTCCGAAAAAAAATAGATGAACTATAATAAAGAAATAAAATTTGATAACCCTTTTATCGCAAGATATCCATTCAGCCGAAACGTCCAAAATTTCTTGCAACTGACTGAAAGAAAAAAGATGCATACCACCTCGACCCAAGACACCATTAATACTTGTTTTCGTCAGTACCACTGATAACAACGAAGTAAGAAATGTATAATAGACCTCAAATTTATAAATTACATTTTAAAAATGACAAAAAAATTCGGAAAAAATGGAGAGCAGTGCTAGGTTCAGTCATAATTCATTCAATGAAAGCAAACGTTAGTGATTTATGTGACTTTGTCCGCTTTTACCACATGGGGTGGATTTATGATATTTTTTATATTATTATCCAATTATGAAAATGAAGAAGTAGAAAAGCATATTTAAAATGAAGTATATCGTATGAATAATAATAAGTTAATACTCCCTATGTATGCTGTATTAATACCTCAGATATTTACATTGATATTCGAGAATAGAAATATTATTATAGAACTGTTAAAAAAGCTATCATTTACCTCACTAGTCATATACGAAAGTTTTTTTTTTTCAACACTTCCTTTCCAGGTACATCACTAATACTTCAGTATTTTTTATGTGTTCTACTGATTTTTTTAATTGTCTTAGAAACATCTTTGACAGATCCCACTCCAATCGATTTTTTTATCATTTCTTTCAAAGGATAATGACAAGATGATACCGAATATTAAATGGCAAAGGGAAGTAAAAAAGAAAGGTTTACCTGTAAACACAGTGAATTACTGGTTTCAAGAGAACTGTTTAGAAACGTTTCCACATCTTTATCCATAGAGAATTGATGAAACTTTTTTAGCATATACGAAGTTAAGGTTGTCCTTGAAATCAACAATAATAAATAAAACATTTTCTAATTTTTTTGCTGAATTTACAATAAGTCGATCAAACTTGATGTCCCCTAATCTACACGATAACATACTTGTCAATAGAATACCACTGGGAACGATCGCTTGCAAGCAATCGATCGTTCACTTCTTCCTTCTCCAACAATAACCGTGCAATCCTTTGGCTGCGAAACATGACAGTTAAGTCACCTCAGTCAGAATCTATTGCAGTGGCATCAAAAATTTCCCTTATAATCTGAAAATATGCATTCAAAGTTCTCTGTCATTGGTTAATGAAATAACAACCAGTTCAAATTTTGTCCAGCAATGTAAAAAGATTAACTGTTTTCAATTTTACAAATTCGAATTACAAATCTACCCAATGAAAATATATCTTGCCAGCCTTATCAATGTAAAACTAAAATAACAAAACACTATACCTAATTCAAGCATAACTATACGGTACACTATTGTACTTTGAAAAAAATGTGATCCCTTTTAGACCTACATTTTATGCGATTAAGTTTTAATCTCATAAATTTAAATTTTAATGAGATTTAGAAAAGAGCGACAAATTCCTATAAATGATTGAAATATAAATAAAAACTCTAACCAGCTATACTTCAATAGCAATACACAGCAGAAATGTTTTGGCATCCAGCGCAACCTTCAATTTTAAGAGTTTAGAATTTAACTTCGAACTTGAAGAGTGAATATATGTGTGTTGTAGTGTGATATGCGCAGGCTTTGATTCTAATCTGAAGATAAAGCAGAGATGTGTGTAGCACAATCTGACGAAAATTATAGTGAAGAGAAGGAAGAGTAATGACACGTCATAGTGAAGCAATGTTTCATCAACATTTACAAGATAAAACTTCCGAAGTTCCATCTCACTGCGTGTCACTTTAACGTATGCACTTCCTGCTACGTGTCCGGAATCACTTCATATCACAACCACTCACACCGATAAAATGATTCATACGAGCCATCGTTCGACCAGTGAGTTGTTCGAACATTGGTCACTCATCTGGAAAGACTTCTGTGATCATTTGACCGGGTCGGGAGGGTCCGCACATTTTCCGAGTGATTCACTTTTATGGAATGGACAGATTCGGTCTTAGTTACTCAAATTTGAAAATCAAGAGTTCGACGGAACAAAATCTCTGCCATATTCATTATAATTATGTTGTTTCGAGTTGAACATCCGCGAGACGTTGCAATGTCCGCCTGTCTTCTTTCGCAATCATTTGGTCCGGGATCGGTCATTCACTCATCAAACTCCGATCCGAATAAAAGCCAGTCGAAATCTGTCAAATCACAAGCGAATTGGAAAGGATTTGTCTGGATTAAGTCCCTCATCTTTATATCCTTTCAGGCAAAGAATCATAAAAACGAGTGAGATTGGTAAAATGAAGTGGAAAAGTGAGAGGGAGAAAGAAGAGGATTTTTGTGGAAAGATGATACCATTCATCACATCGAGAAGAGTTTTCCAGCAGCATGAAAGGACATCTGTCAGTGATTTTTAACTTTTTGTCTGACACTTATAATTTATGGGAACAGGAGTGAATCATTTCCTTTTTCCAGTTAATGGTTCATTTATTTGGATTTTTTTCATAATCGTCGTAATCAACCTAAATTTTCGACACCAGAAATGATCATAGCAAATCTCCAGCTATTTTATAGTCATATGAGTGCGTTTGGAAAACAGCTGCATATAGGATCTTCAAAAAACATCACACTTGCTAACTGCAAGCTATCAAATTCCCTTCATCATTTCTGTTAATTCACCTAAAACTTACTGGAATTAGTACTTTCACACCGCGGTAAAGTGTCCCATTTGCTCTTCCTGTGAATTAAAAATCTTTCATCATGAAAATATTTGGTTCAATATAATTAGTGTATAGCTTTTCGAATGTTACTTTAATTGTATTACTTTTGTATTATTTAGTTAGTTTGTTTAGTTGGTTAGTTAGTTTCCAGTTATTTTTCAACCTATCAAAAAAAGGTAGTATTAAGTAAGGTGAGTTTCTGTATGTTTTCACTGTCTCAAACGATACAAGCTATTAAGTGAGGGAGAGGGATGGAAGAAAATCAGAGGTTTAGAAACTCCGGTAGTCTAAGCGGGAAGTTAATTGAAAAGGAACTGTTTGAGGATGAATGGTGTACTAAGATTACCGTAAAATGTAAAAGCTGTTAGATTTAGTAAAAATCTGAAATTGTGATCTGGCTCATATTCTTACATAAGCCTGATTATACAATGGGTCGAAACTAAGTTTAGGTCGAAGTAAGGCAGAGACCTCGAGCAATTCGTTAATTTGATTGAATAATGTACTGATACTAGCGAGAGGACAAAGATCAGTGATTGTTTGGTATGTGGAAAAATAATACCTTTGAAAATGATGGGATGATTTATATGCTTTCGTCAAATGTTGATCATTAATTGCTTTCTAGTCTCGAACAAATAATTGAACGTTGCCGTCAGTGTCCTTTACAATAATATCGATCGATGGCCTCATGATGGTATCCTATCTTTTAGGCTGGTGCTTTTGCAGTACCGACCACTTTTGGATTATCAACCAGTAAGCTATTACGAAGTATGCTCTATTTTTTCTTCTTTTCGATTGTTAATGATGAAAATACTTCAGTTACTTGTTTTCCGACAAATTCACTATAGATTAATGACTTTGTGAAATGATAAAAAATTTTTATTTACTTAGTTTTGAACCAACTTGTCGACATATACATTAGCAAATGTGTACCGTGTGAGACGTATGACATCCATCACAAAAATAGGAAAATACGAAGCAGTTTGGTTTAGATTGGGGAATAAGTCAGAATTCGTGGTACAGGGTGAGTTAGTTCTGTGGAAAGTATGCGCAAGCAGTGGTATTAAAAGAAGTGGAAGAAGAGTTAAATTCTCACATCGTCCTGCATCACTCCATGTTGGATATAAAAACGACTTATTCTTGCTAGAGAAGATGAAGAAATATGGTACTCGAGCTGACAAATTGAGATCAGAACGATCTTTATATCATTATTATCAACTGTAATTATACTGGTGAAATCATGCATGGATCTACTCTTATTACATTTCATTGTCGGCTGCGATAAAACTAGTATGCTGATAACATTCGGCCCTGTAATTATTACTATACTGCTTTGTTGGTGATATTGAACTTCAGATTTACTGTCTTTTGGTATTTTTCATTAGCATGTCGAAATTTTAATTTTTTTAATGCTTGGAACTGTTTCATTAGAATGTGTCTGAAAATATCAAAGATAACTTTTTGCGAGAAAGTAATGACAGAATTAAAAAAACAGCTTTCAACAAATAAATGAATAAAATATAGGAATTGGGTGACGGTAGAAGAGACTGGAAATGAGAAATAGTGAAGAAGAGATAAGGTAACAATGCCGAAGGAAATTGAACGGTTCTCAAGTTTTTACTTTTTGTATCCAGAGAAATTGTTTACCCGAAAATATTTGTTGCAGAAATTGGGCAAAAAGTGTGGATGACAGCAGACGAAAAGGAAGAAAGACGTGTTCAAGAACGGGGAACGGTTTCAAATTTTTATTTGTGCTTGACCGGTAGTGAAATGTCAGGAGATCACAGTAGCCCCGCGATGAGATCATTTCGTCGTAGTAACTTGGGTAAATTGTATCAATCATTTATCAAGCGCAGGAAGTCGACTAGTACGGAGGAAATGGCAGGTAAAACAATGCCTTTCTTTGTTTTTGTCCAGAGGAATCATTTTTTGGTTTTTTTGGTGGGCGATTTTTTTTCATTTTTGATTGAATGACTGGTACTTTTGAGGTTTTTTGGGCATGTATAATTTTCATTAATTCCAACATTTTTTTTCCGTTAACTATCCAGTCTCCTAATTATCGAAAATCTATTTTAAAAGTTTTTGATGTCAGAATATATAGGTGGTTTTATATATTTAATGTCACATCGTTGAAACCTTTCTCCAGTTTATCGTCAGAATGAACCAGTCAAATTTTTTTCAACGGTAACTTTTTCTCAGAACTTCTCTGTTTTTGCGCGATTCCAAAATCGTTCCATACTTTATCAATACCGAATCCTACCTTGCAAATTATTCATTCATCAAAGAAGGCAAATGGAATCACGGGGAGAAATGGGAAAGGAAAGAAACGAGCCTTTCAGTTCTTTGTTTCCACTTCTCACCATCAGTCGTTTTTATCAGTTTTAATATTCTATCTTCCTTTAGAATAAACAGTCTATCTCTAAAATCTTTTAATATTGAAACAAATAAAGCAGGAGATATCAGCTGTAATTAGTTACGTCAGATTGGTTAAATCGTTGACAAATAAGCTAGCAGTAGCCTATCTATCCCATAATTTTATTCTTAAATAAAGTAGGTGAAATAGTTTCTGTACCAGTCACACGACTTGTTACAGATTACAGAAACATTATAGGTAAAGGAATCTGAGATTCATTGAACGGGATATTAAGTCTGTCTCCGGTTGTCAAATATGATTCGACGATCGAGAATATATCCCTTAAAAGTCTTTCCACACAAATCGAGAATGCAATAAAAAGATTATTTATGGAAAATGAAGCAGAACGTTAGAAACATCTTTCTCTTTTCCTCCCTGTTATAGATCCTTCAGTTGGATGAAGCCATTTGCTCATCGATCAACAAGAGTCTTGCTCATTTCAGATGCGCATGCGACTGCAACAGAGGTTAGAGACAAGGAACAAGCACCGTTCTTTACACTGCCCGCAATATCCATCATGACTTCGATGGCAGATGTTGAGGATGGTGAAGCTGGGCTTGGCAGGACAGAACTTTCAACAACATCTATACTACCAGCGCCACTGCAATGCACAGAGTCAAATAGATCGTTTTTTTCGCGGTTGAGCGGTCGTTTACGGCGTTCACTTCATTTTCCTTCAAATAAACGTAAACGATCCGTGAAGTTTATAGCAAGTAATGAAGTGGCGGTAAACGAGAATGTGAGACCACTATTGCTTCACGAATCTGGGGAGGTAAGGTTTTTGTTATACTGTTAGTGAAGTCAGTATATCATTAAGTAAATCAGAAGCCAACTGCTTTTACGAAAATTATTAAGTAAATTTAAAATATTGACTGACCCTTTTGATTCGTATTTTGTGTAAATTCTTGCCCAGCAATCTGACAACGTGGATTGGCTAAATATCGGTCATTGGGAACACATAACCTTCAGTGAAACTGTAATATGGCAGTAGTGGACCCATGAAATGAGCTATGGAGATGTAAATGGAAGCATTAATGGTAGGTATGAATTGAAACATAAAACATTTGGGTCTTATATCAATAACATTGACAATGTGGATCATTATTGTATAATTTTGTGAAATCAAGTTATATATGCAATTTATGAAGACATGAAGTATCCTCCCATACAGCTTTTCGTCTGCAGGAAACATTCACGGACTATGCCAGTATCAAAATTGTTAATTACGGTGAATCATACGGTGACATTAAGTTGATCCGACAAATTCTACACCGGAATAAAACCGATGAAGTAAGAGTATCGATGTGATAAGTAAACAAAACTCAATCACTGGTCATAATTAGTATAACTAGGTGTGGGTTGAAGTGAAAGTTGAAAGGACATAAACATCGAGAGTTAGAAACTCTCACCCCTACCTGATGTGTAGCATATTGATTATAAGACTTTTTGAGAACAATAAATTTTGTCGATCATGCGACACAATATTTTGTTAGAAAAATGGCATGATTGTATGGTTGGTGAAGTTCTGCAAATGATTTCAGTTTAATTTTGCTCTTAATTTCAGATTAAAAAACTGCTTCGAAAAAAAAATTGGCCAGTAGGGCACGGAATACGAGCAAATTTGTGGCAAGAAATCTGTAAAATAAACAATCCAGATTTCAATGCATACAAAGATAGTTATGAATCTGAAGCATGGGAAGAACACATCGGTGATTTTTTTTCTCATTTTTTTCTTAACTATTACTTAATTTGGATTGCTGTGGTTGAATTATACAAAACATATCCATGCAGTAAAATCAGTACTACGTTTAGAAATGTAGTGCAATACCTATGAAGAGTAATTGTTATCTCTGTTGCGGTCTATTATTGTTATGTAGTAAAGTGTGTTAAGGCAAACTTAACTAGTTGAAAACAGTTTTGAAAGTTAATTCAAATTTGTTTAGGTCATTTTTCACCAAAAGCTCGTTTTCTGCTATCTTCGGATGCTATACACAATTGTTATGAATTGAATGGAAATGGCTTGAAAGCACTTCATCGTCTCATTTCTGCCTTAGATGCTACGGTTCCGACATTGAATTATGCACCTGTTAGTGCTATACCGATTTTTATTTATTTGATTTGGGTGAAGTGTTGCAAAACAGTTTGATGGGAACTATTTTCCAAGCAACTCGTCAAGTCCCGTTCAAATGAACTTCTTCATAATATTTCTTATAACTACTGCTTTTTCTTGTAGTTGGTACAGCCCATACTTGCATTATTTTTGCATTATATGAGTGAGGATGATGCATACGCTTGTGTGTTTTGGATCCTTAAAAATCATTCAAATTATATGAAACGTTCTGCTCAGGCGAGCAAAGCTACGTCGTATACGCTGCTTGCACTTGTGAAGATCTATAAGGTATCTTTTTCTCATCCTTTTTCTCTCTTCACTTTTAAGGTTATCAAAATTATTGAGATATTCCATGCTTAGCAGATTTTTTGCTATTTTTCTGCTTTTATTTGAAATTGTTGTCAGTATTTTTCTTAATTTGTTGGATTTTTCTGTTTGTGCAATATAATATGTTTTGCAACGGCGATAGTTGTGATGCATGACGATACAATGGTATATTGATTTTCGGTAGAAATTGTTAAGTGTCAAATTTTATCATCTACTTAGTTCATTGATTAGGTTGTAATAAATTGAAATTGTCGAACTTCAAACAAAAATACGTGGAATTGTCATGATAAGTTTACATAGATTATCTGTTCTAGATTTTCTTTTCAGACAGCAGTTTACAAAACTTTGAGAAACTGGATTGGATCATCTGATGCAAACATTCTGGCAAAAGCTTTGCAAAATTGGCCGAGATGGATATTTTGCGCCTTGCCATTTGAGCATTTAATTTGTGTTATTGATTGCTACTTGTATGAAGGAAGCAAAGTATTAATGAGGATTGCTATCGCATTGCTTAGTATATGGCACAAAAGTGTGAAAGTTGGTTTTATATACTTTATATTTCTAGGCTATTTCCTAGAAGTTAAGGATTGTTAACAAAATTTTTCTGAAGTTGTGCGGTTGGCTCCTTACAGCTCTATAGAGACTGTGGGGTAATAAATTGCATATGGAGAAGTTTGATCACGAACGATTTTGTAAATTTTTTTGAAACTGCTGGTTAAAATTAATTAAGTCATATTTGGAAATTTCATTTATCTCACAGCATTGAAAATTTTTCCGACTGTAATTTACGATTCTTAAAAAATGCAGATACCAGACGATTTGGTCGACAAAACATGCCAAGAACGAATTGATTTATTCGCAGAAGGGATTGTTCAGATCGTAAATGATAAAAATATCTCTACAGCAGCCTTATTTGAAACCGCTATAAGGATTCGGAATTTTAGTAGCGCAAAAATTGTCCGTTTTCAGGAGAGATATGAAAAGATGGTAGATTTTACTTTTTTCTTTTATTATGTAATGTAAAGTTGGTTTTTCTATTTTTTTTTCTATGTTCATACAAAGTACTGCAAACAGAAAAGATTAAGGAGCAAAATTAGCAGTACAAATGTCGAGCTAAGATTTTGAAGCTTTTCAAACTAGAACTGCAACTGGGTTTAGTAAATTTTCAACATTGAACTTGATCGGCCTTAAAAATAAGCTCCCAATTTTCCCACAAAACGAAAAAACGAAAAATGGTAAAAATTCATACTAAGTAAAAATGGAGTTCTCTCTGCCACACAGAGTAGAGGAAATGATTGTCGTCATTTAAATGAAATCGAGAAGAACAATAGTTTTTTGAAACAACTAACCGCTGTGGGAGAAATGAGATTACAACCCAGCAAACATTTCCTTGTCATGAATGATACTGCATACATTCTTCGAACGAGATCTGAAATGCATGCTCCATACGCAAGTATATGAGATAAGTCATCTGTTTGCTTTATGTTATGCATAAAGTTATTACAGTATTTAACTGATAGTAGCATAATTTTTCCATCCTATTCAAATGACATTACACAATGACATATCTTAGGTAATATCATTTTTAGATAATTGGTGATTATATTTTTTTAGTTTAGTTAATTGCAAAGCATTATGCGTACTTCCGGAGTTTCATTTTTTTCTTTTTTTCAGAATTTTATTGTGAAAAAAAGAAAAAATGTGAGAAGTGGTTTGTAGATGGTTGTTTTCAGATTTTACAGTTGGAAGGACCCGATCTTGCAATGGTAGATTTACCAGCTGTACATATAAAGCCCTTCATTTCAACCATCGTTTCATCAGAAGTTGCTTTTCAATTAATGTGTTGTTTACCTGAAAAATATCAATTAATAACTCCGATGCTAATTTACCATCTTTGCGAGGATGGCACTTCATTCTATCGTTTGTGGGCGAAGTGAGCAAGTATTTCGTTTTTAATATTAGGTCGTTGAAGCTGCAGAAATAACTGCAACATATAAAGTTTTTGGCGTCAATTTTTATGGTAGATTACCATCAAGATTAAAATTCATCTTTTGTAGGATCGATGAAGCCAAATCAACATTGCTAATTATTAAGACTGATAAAAGTGAAGTTTTGGGAGCCTTCTGTGACGAGCCATGGGGAAATCGAACAAAGACATGTGAACGTGGGAGTAAAAAATATTTTGGCAGTGGTCTTTCGTTTGTTTGGAATTTAGATGAAAATAATCAAGTGAATAAATATGACTGGAAGGAAAATCAAGCGGAATGTTTTATGGCTGCTCCATATGATCGAGAGCCTACTATTTTAATGGTATATTGTTTAAAGTTCTGCTTCGTTTTTTGATGTCAATTATGTATGCTTTATTCCTTAACTCTAAAAGTTGGTATGTTGTAAGCCTGGGAAACATATCTTTGGTGAATCTGATAAATGTATCTCCTGCATATTTCTGTTCTATAGGGAATTATCAAAGGAAATTAGCTACTTACTTTTTCCAACCGCTTGAGTAGCAGACTGAACTGACTCACTAAAGAATTGATATTTCTTCTTTTTATTTTAACGGTATATATACGCTCAGTTGATTTGGCCAATTTTTTCTTTCAGAACTATTTCAGTGAAAGCCTTATTTCACTGTATTAATGGAACAAATCAAATTCGTTGTGCAGATCATCTCTTAATTTATAGATCGGTGGAAATGCGATACATATTGTAGATGAATTAATAAAAGGCTCAAGCTTGCCGGGCAATACTTTCGGAAATCCAGAACTGGTGAAGGGTGGCATATTTAAAATCCATGACATGGAGGTAATTTGAGGACTGCAAACTCTTTAAATATTGACAGGCAAAGTTATAAATTTTCAGAACAGTGATTGAAATTATAAATTTATGTGCCGAATTTACTTTTTTTGGGTTTGAGTTAAAATTTATAAAAAATTCAAATTTTTAGAGTCTAAAAGTAAAAGAGTAAAACAAAACATTTATTTTTCAGGTATTTCAAATATTTACATAGGAACTGAAGAATGAAAAAAAGTCAAAAGCAAAGGTACGGAGAGATTTCTAAAAACATGTACAAATCACTTTTCTCTCCCCGATCAATTTTTTTAGGACCTTTGAAATTTCGAAGTAAAAAAATTAGTTCTATGCATATATGTATTTCATTGCTATTACTTGTGTGGCATTTTCTGGTAATCAGTGCTAATAAATACATATTTGAGAAGTCAGAAAATGATAATTTTCAATATTATCAAAGTACTATTTTACATATAACAGGATTATTCCAAATTAAATTACTGCTTTCAATTATAGTCTATTTATGTACTTAAATACATAACCAGAAAGTTTCTTTTTTTTCTGTGGCATCAGAAATTAATACCAAATTGCTTTTTTTGTTTTGATTTGATGTTGAGTAGTCTGGAATCAAACATTTGATGTTTTTTATTTTCAGTTTTCTCAAAAAATGTTGACGAATTGAATTAATTTACGGTGTATATGATGATCTTTTGCCGTGTTAATTCATATTTATGTGCTGTACTGTAGTTTAATATTGTTGTAAATGCCCAAAAATTTCAGTGGAATTGTGATTTTGTATTAGTTTTGCACTGATCACAAGGATTATTTATTGTTTCATGACATTCCGCTATATCTTCTCTGCCATGATTCTGTTTTTGATGACGCAGTTTGATCAACAACTAATCGGAACAGTAAATTGGCCCATCAGCTGTCTGATTATGTTTTTGTTGGGAAAAAAACGAATAAATAAATTACTTGATTTCAAGCTGATAAATTTTTGAATCTCTTATGGTGGGCAGAGCAATAAAATATTTGGGATATCGAAAATTTCCATAGCGAATCGAAGAATTTGGAGGAAATGGATGCAAGATCGCGTAATAGTTTTTGCACTTGGATATTTAATAGTTTTTTGCACAATGGTGGTACGAGATTCAACTGTATTTGAATCAAAAATGTTTACCTACGCTAGTCGGTCAATTTTCAGGTGATAACTCTGCGGTAATGAAGAATCTGGTTTTTTCAAAAACTGATCAGTTGTTACATTTCGTATTTCCAAATCGATGTTACGAGTTAATGCTTCTGAAATATGACTTCCTCCACCGTAAGCTTTCGATATTTCTGCCGATGATAGACATTTATGATAGAGTGCGCAACAGGAAAGCCACCAGGCAATTTGTCATCATTTTGTCCAAAAGTAGATTTGAATTTGATAGATTAATGAGAAAATAGATTAAAAGAACTCAGGCTTTGTCGAATTCTGAACTGCTCTGAATGTATAGAGCGCTGGTAGAGAGATCAGCATCAATTATGAATTTATTTTACAAGCCAAAATGAACCTTTGTGAATCAGTTAGTCATCCATTCAAGAAAGTTTACGCTTAAAAGTTGTCACTGATTCCAGAAGAATGTATATCGATGGTTATGTCGCGATTGCTTGGACTTGGTATAACGCTTGGGTCACTGCTTGTATTCATACCACAAATTTTGAAAATTCAATTTGCACAGTCGGCCGAAGGGATTTCATTGTTGTCGCAGTTGCTGGGATTGTTTTCCTGTTTTGCAGTAACATCTTACAGCTACGCAAAGGGATATGTTTTCAGGTTTGCTTATTTTCGCTTTACATTTTCCTTTTTTTGGTAAATTGTACTGACTTTATATCCATTTTAAAATTAGTTTTGCGAACTAATGATAAGCATTATAATTCTGAAGCAGATAATTTATATAGGGAGATGCGCATCGTTAGTTACTTTTCTGAAAAACCATTGTCAGAACCTATTATCATCCAATAAGAATGGTGTTATCTAGGATATCAGCTCTCGTTTCAAATTACATCATTTTGTAACATATCTCTTTTTGAGAGAAAAGCATTGAATAGAATTGCTGAAAGGAGAAAGAAAGCATTGAAACTAGAATTTTAACTGGCTGAAAAAAAAGCCTTTAAAATAATTGGAAAAGTAGACCTGCAAATCGATATCCCATCAACTCTGGCATACTCGAAGTAGTCAAGTCATGATATCGTTTGTCTTAAATGCCTAGTCAGTAGTGTACATCCAAATCAGACATAAATTACTGATTAGTAGATGATTGGCTTATTCTTCAATATAGATCCGTTCCATTTCTTTCTGTTGTAAAAAATAGTTTGGTTTGTTTATTGTTGAAGCGTTGTTGTAGATTATTAAATTTATATTATGCTATAGTTATATAGTGCATTATTTCAGTCAGTGGGGTGATTCATTTTTTGTGACGATCCAAATGATCATAATAATTATCCAAATTTTATGGTTTTCATCACGTAAAGCTCACGCAGCAGCATTCCTTGCATTTTGCTGGACAATTATTTGCGCAGTAATGAATGAATATATTCCACTTGATGTGCTCGCGTTGCTTCAAGCTATTACTATCCCAGTTGTTATTGTTGCTAAAGTAGGCTTTGGAGAGTCTTTATTAATTGTTGATTTCCCGTTTGCCAACGAAATGTCTCCACGTCTTTTTTTTATGTTAATGCTTCAGGATAGGACAGTGACGATTGGGACATTAATTATCGCTCAATAATTGGGTAACATATAAGTGAGAGTGAGACATTCAGTTCATCGCTTTAATGTTTAGAACTAAAATTTCTTTTCTTCTTGCTGTTACTTAGAAAATATCGTGTAAGATCTGAACCAAATATCCCAATCGTGGTGTAAAGGAATCAACGATAAAATAATATTAAAGCGATGCGAAGAATACTGAGATAATCTGACAGGATGAGTTTAAAAATTGAGTGGATTAAATGGCATTCAAAGTTGTATTATGTCTTCGCTGATGCACACTTGGCAGGACTGGTTAAATAATCGTAATAATTCAATAGAAACATTATTTGTTCCATTCATTAGTTCATATACTTTTCCAGTTTCTACAAATTCGGGCGAATTACCAGCAGCAGAGTACTGGCCAACTATCTATGATCTCAGTATTTCTTCAGTTCGCAGGATGTTTGACCCGAATATTTACTTCTATACAGGAAACTGGTGATCATCTGGTAATTATTAATTACATTATTGCCGCCTTGCTAAATGGTATAATTTCTGTTCAATTTCTTCTCTATTGGAGCAGTGCAGAAGTGAAGAAAAAGGTGTCTTGAAACACATATACACTATTAGTAATTGATATACACTATTAATAATTGCACTATGTTTATGAATGCTGTTTTTGTCTCGCTTATTAATTTCCAATAAAACTGATAAAAATGAATGTTGCGAAAGGAATGCTCAGAAAGTTTTCCTAGAGGGTGAACTTTTTGTGGCTAGAAAACATATGAAATCTGCATTTCTCGGTTATGGTAAATAATGGTCACATGCCTCATATCCAACAATTGTTGGAGGACTTTTAAACTCTTTTCCAACATGTAAGAATTTGCTGTAAGTACTCCTTAAAAGAATTGCTAAACATTATTTACTTCTGAAGTATCTCCTTAATCTAGATGTTTTACCGAACTTGTCAAATGTCCTAAATTATCAAGTGCCATCGATTTATCAAAATCTGCTAGGTATCCACTCATCGATTGCTTTAATCAACCTCAGATATCGTTGCTAACGTTATTAGCTTAGCACAGTAAGAGAAGTAAGAGATATTGCATAATACGAAAGGAAATTTTGTGCTAGTTCGCAATCAGTAACGATCAGTAGCATCAGGAATAGTTTTTTGAAGTATTTTATTAACGGGACGATAAAGGGACGTAATTTAGTTGAAAAACTGGAATAAGTAATCCTCTCTCGCTCCTTATTCGTCTTGAAAGTAATTGGCTGAGAGCATGAGAAAGTGCTGCAATCATTTAAATGTAGCAATAGTCAAAATTTCTCGCTGGAAGCCAGGAAATTAATGTCACGAAACAAAAAAAGAAAATTTAATTTGTATTTCGTTTTTATGTATTGTCGGTGCGTTTCCACGATAACTGGAAAAAACTGCTCTCATTATGAGTGTTCTCACATCAACTTTCAAGTACCTTTAAAGACGACGTCTTTTTAGGAATGTAATCACTGTGACTGAATGGCGTAAATAAACACATAGGACTACAGGCTCATAGAAGCTTTAATGACCTTACTATTCAAGGACAACAAAAATGCATTCACTCCTTTGACGAGCATTCACCGTCGGAATCAGTACCTCTAATAAAGCTGTAAGCCGGTTGGTATTTCGTGGTTGGTAATTCATACTGAAATCAGACCTTCGGTAGATATCAAATGAGATTGTTACTCTCATATTACGCACTTTAGGATGTGATGTCAGATATATCTGTACATTGATTAATACAACTCACTGAAATCTTAGATGATACCGAATAATAGAAGTGGAGAGAGGTTTAAATTGAATCTTGAATTCTTTTTTGGCTTTACGATTATAAAAAGCATAAAAGAATTATAGTGGCCTCTTCTAGATGTCGAATCAAATGAGAACGAGAAGTGAGGAACTTATTTCATGTGAACTTTTAGAATATTGATTGGCGAACAATGGCATTCCTGAAACGATGGTGTTTTACGTTCGTTGACTATTGGAAAATGGTCGGAAATGATTATATGGTCGTCATTGCAGATTTGTTGGAAGATGCGAAAAAAAGACCGGTCATAACTGCTATTAAGTTACTGCCATTGAGTGGTGCATTTTATGCTTACAGGACTAATCCGAGTAAAGGGTATGTTCATTTAACGAAGATGCTCTGTACGTTTCCTATGCACTCATTTTTATTGTCGTAATTTCTGGGATGTTGAGAATAAATAGAACCAGAAATAA